CATCTAACCTGCTAACACTTCAAAGTCAATGACTATAATCTGAGCTCCTCTTTATCGCCAACATGTTTAGAAATGGCTATAATATATAACTTGGTTCACTGATCTTTTTTTTCAACTCTTTACATTAAGGCATCTCAGTACAACAAAAGAGTTTCTGAAAAAAATCAATAATAACTGGGAACAAGAGTAAAGCAGGTTTATCTTCTCTGTCAGTTAACAATATTACTTTAATGGAGTAATAAGCTTTTATTATTCTGGATCCTTACTTGAAAGTTTATAAGGAAAATTGGGGGAATTATTTTTCCCCCAAATGATGTTAGAGCTCTTCTACAACATTTACCCCTTGGTTAGGGTAAAAAAAAGTTTTTAACTATGGGACTTTGGGAACAAAACCTTGAATATAGATGAAAAAATTCATTTTTAATTTTGTTTCTTTATACTCTGGTCTACATTTCAGTGATGCCATGTTTATGCACAGAGAATGTATTTTCCAGTCTTCACAGCACCTTTACCTGCTTCTGGCAAAAGCATTCTGTGACCTCCTTTAGGGAAACGTACCTCTTCACTCAAGATATGATTGTAGAAGGGTTGAAATCTCAGTCCTTTTCTTTCAACCACATAGAGTGGACACATGGGCATGGCCAGTCAGTCATCTTACTGTAAAGCAAGAACTCCTTCTCACAAATTGACCCATCAGGGATAGTCAAGACTAAGCCCTGGGGAGAAGTCCTTCTGCTTTTTGTTGCTAACTGGAGGGATGTATACCTAGGACTGCTGTTGACTTCCTCCTACTTTCCATAGTTGGAAAGAATGTAGCTAAAACAGAAAGAAGCATAGATTGTCACAGCTGTGCCCCCAATTCTATGTCTGCCCCCATCTTCGGTGATCCGTCTCAGCATCTGTGGTAGATTCTACTACTGTTCACAGTGATCTGTTGCCCTTCTGTAAAAAGACTCTGTGTCTTCCTATGGTCATGTCATGTGCAAAATGTCTCCTTGGGGGAAGACTGGCTACGTGGCTTGATTAAAATGATAAGATACGAGCAGAAGTAATTTGTGATACAACCACACAGAAACTGATTGTATGATTATTTTTTTCTTCTTCCACAGGACTGAGACAGGGGCTGCTCTTTCAGCCCAGGTCCCAGAATGAGAAGGTATAGAGAACACAACCACAGCAGAATATAACATGAACAGCAAACAAAACCTTTGTACAACAAAGCCTAATTCTAATAAATCTATATCTCTCTTTCTCTCTCCTCTGTCTCTCTTTCTATCTCTCTATCTCTCCCAGAAGATGGTTCCACCAGGTTTCTATACCTATGTCTAGAAGCTTTCTAATTACCCCATGACTAACACTGTTTATTCCATGACTAATACATACATTTAGCAACACATTTCTACAGCAAATTACCAAAGCCAACACGTGTGAACACGTATACATTAAATTAGTCTATTCCAGAAATGACTATTTTAATGTCTAATAAAAAAATCATTTTCAACATTAAACATATGCTCCTAGAGGCTAGATAAGTTTTCACAGCCACATTAATTTGTTCTCTCTAACACTCATAATTACATCATAGCTAATGTTTGTTTTAAGCCTTTGTACAACAAATCAATCAAATACATCAAATCAAATACAATCATCAAATACAATACTTATAATTTCCATTTCCTTTAATAATTCTTTCAATGTATTTTCACTATAAATCCTCCTTTTTTAGTTTAGTCAATTTACTTAGCTCTTAAAATTGTTAAGTTTACTTTGGACATGCAATATTGTTCGCTTTATGTTAAAATTAAAATACATCAACATTTTCACATACGTTTAGATACATAGTAAAAGGATGAAACTTCTCTATTTCTGTTAACTAATGTATCACAGAGTACTACTGCAATGTCCGTATCTGGTTCTCTTCCTACCTATAAACACAAGAAGACTTCTTTCCCCAAGTAGTCCCACAGTTACAGCTAAAGGACTAACCACAGTTCAGTGGTTTTGAACCAAGAGCAATTTTCTCCCCGACCTCCCCCAATCACCAGGGAACATCTAGTAAGGTCTGAAGATACCTTTAGTGATCATGGCTTCAGGCAGTGCAACTGGCATCTAGTACGAAGGGCCCAGAGAAGCTGGGACTCTACCAAGCACAGGACAGCCCACCAACGACAAACAATTATTCAGCCCCAAATGCCAAAAGTCAAAGTGGAGAAACCCTGTGCTAAGCAATGGAATTTAAGTAGAAGTACTGCAGGTCACTTCCAGACTGTGGCCTTCAAGAGCTTGTCTTCCCTTTAAGAAGCAACTGTGGAAGTCATATGTTGAAATGCAGGTACTACAAGAAGCAATTGGCCTGGCTTTCTGAGTCATCACAGAAAAAAGCTAGCATGGAGAACTGCCTAAGCCTTAACTGTCTTTGTGTAATTATTACATAACCCCTTCCCGTCCTTAACCTATGTTGCACGTCTTAAACTGGATGGCAGGGCTAATTTGTTGCTGCAGCATAATCCATCCTAGCCTCACCAATAAATCTAATTTCACAAATGTTCACTTATGTGCATATAAGTAAAGGTACTACATTCTTAAAATGTCAGCTCACAGTATATGCACAGCATTAAGCACCTTTCAAATATAACTTATTTTTAAGGCAGACATCTTTTGTTATTCCAGTCATTGATACATGCTGAAGATAGAGATGGCATTATTCAAGCAAAAATGGGATTTGAAGAATGTATATTAAAGACCAGTTGGCAGTACACTCAATAATCTTCAGAATGTGGAACATAACTGTGTGCGTAGGAAGGAGATCACCCAAGTCTGAAACTGAAAACGAGAAACTGTAACTTCCAGGGAGTGTGGAATGTTTGTGTCCAAAAGTCATAAGACTATAAAATAAGAGGTTTGAAAATTATTTTTTTGTCCTCAGCGGAGGAGATACTATGCTGCATTTCATAGCTGCCTAGCTGCAGCGAGCTGATGTATGTTCACAACACAGATGATGGTGGCTTAGGAAGGGAATCCAATAAAATCAGTATTGGAGCCAAGAATAAGATCCAAGGAAAATGCCTCTAGTTAATCACTCCAATTACTCCCCCTGTGTGCCAGAGAAGGGCTCATTTTCTAACTCAGTCTTATTATAGGTTATTTAAAATAGAGAAAAGCAGTGCTATAAGGCTAAGGCCCTCTAAATTTTAACTTCGAGGCAAAAGCCCCCTATTTTTTATACTTTCCATTTTTTCCCCTCTCAGTGAAAGCTGTAATAAAAATTTGTACAAATTTCAATTCATGCTTCAGAGTCTTTAATGACCATCTTGTTATGAGACCTAGGTGTTGTGTGAAAAGGAACAAAAAAGAAAAAAGAAATGTGAGTCCAACTGTAATGACTCCAGCGTGCAAAATACTGACAAGCTCCAAAATGGTAATACGTGCAGCAAATGGGTATTGACTTGAGATTTTCTGTATGGAAACACTTTACTGACAAGGAGGCAATTAAAACCAGAACTCTTATCTTCCATTTTTAAAAATCTGAAATGAGGGGAGCCTAGGTGGCTCAGTAGGTGAACCACCTGACTCTTGATTTCGGCTCAGGTCATGATCTCACAGTTTGTGAGATCGAGCCCCACATCAGGCTCTGCACTGACAGTGCAAAACCTGCTTGGGATTCTCTCTTGCACTCTTTCTCAGCCCCCTTCCTGCTTGTGTGCACTCTTTCTCTCTCTCAAAATAAATAAATATTTTAAAAAATAAAGTAAAAATCCAAGATTAATTCTATAGGGGGTATAGCTCAGGAGTAGAGCATTTGACTGCAAAATTAATTCTATAGGTGCATATGCCATCACTACAGACCATATTGATATTAAGCAAAGGAAAAAATGCCTTGCCAAGTAATTTGACCTTGTGATCCTGGTCATTTCTCTAAGACAGTCCTGTGGAAGTGAGACTGCATGATGTTCTGGAAAGGACACCTGGCTAGTAGTTCTATGATTCAAATTCTGATACTAAAGAACTTTAAAAACTCCAGACTGGTCATGCAAATATTGCTGATCCTCAGGCTCCACCACAAAACACAAGGACCTCATCATTACCTGGACAGGAGAAAAGGAGAAGTCCACATCTGAGACAACTGAATATTCAACTCTGTTGTAGACACAACAAACCAATCACAACAAACTAATTAATGTATTTTGTTCAGGGTCACGTAGAGAAGTCGGCCTGGTTGGCACATACATGACTTTTCAAGAAGGTCCAATCCAAAGCATGAGATGGACCAAGAGGAGCATTAGTGACAACATTTGTTCCCAATAATGCTCAGTGAGGGATAAAAATCAAGTCGTTAGTAGTAGAGGAAGGCTACTATAATATCATGAATGAAACATCAGGGCCTTGGCCTCACAGATTGGAATTCAGGTTTGGGTTCCAGGCACTACAGGAGACAGAAGTGCTAAAGATACAGAGATGCAAACCTAACCCTCGATCTGGACTAGAAGGATGCACAGGTTATTCAAGCACAAAGATGACCAGAATAGTGTCTGTAATAACTATATTCACCACAGTACCCAGGAGAACTAAAACTGCCACCCCACCCTAGTCAGAACTGGTGTCAAGAGCAGAAATAAGAGATGTTCATTTCTACTTGCTTCAGAGCCAGGGAAAGGAAATGACTGAAAAAAAAAAATATATGAAGAATGAGTACATTTAGCTCCTGAAATCTTTTTTGTTTATCTTACACTAAAAAAATGTTTTTATACTTTCCTTGAAAGTGCTAATGAAATCTCCTTCTAATCCAAAGGCTTTTCAATAAGTAAGCATTCCAGCACTGTGCATAAATGAAGTCAATATTATAATTTCACAATGACAGTACAGAAAAAATTAGAAATTCAAGAGTTACAATTAAGAGAAAATACACTTGGTTGTTTAGAACTATTACATAGTCAGAAACCAAAATATATATTGAAATCAGTTTGTTCAAAGTATGAAATAATTTATCATTGAGCAAAACATGTTATATTACATAACCTTTATTTTCTGACTGCATTTAAATTGTATCCATCCAAGCCTTTGCTAGACTGTGAAGATAGATAATACATATTCTCCTTCTTTATAACTCTTCCAGTTACGTGACTCAGAGTGGGTACTCCTTCGATTACTGTGTTCCAACCAATACATTCAAACGAAGGCTGTGACGTTAATGAAAAACACTAGCTTTATGATCTCAAGTTTGACAGTACGTTTACCACACTGAAAACTGTGGCTATTTTACCCAGATGATTGATCAATAAAGCAATAACATTGTTTTTAACAAGAACAAAATCCCCTCGGGTTTCATGAATTCAGTCCTAATTTTATCTATAGGGAAAGTTATGGTGATTCTAGCTCCAAAATACAGTTATCAATTGCAACCGTAGACCTTCATGCGATTGACTGGAGTTGGGTAATAGATGCCCTTTAAACCAAGCATGAGCTTTCTGGTTTCCCATGGTCACAACTGCTTCTTAGCTCTGAGGTCTGTTATTTGCTTTCTGTCACTCCATTAGAGTAGTTAAACTCAGCCTGCCCCGTCCCTGTGGGCATTTGAGTTTGCTCCTGCTGTTTAGCCTTGACCAAAGAAAGGTCCTGCTTTATCTTCCCAGCCCTCTTGATACCTCTAACATTTTCTGCAAAGCTCTGGAAAGGACACATGGAGCTGTGATTAAGGTGGAGGGCACTCACACAGCCGCCAGACCAACTGTCCTCAGCCCACAACATCAGTGGGAACAACGACTTCCTTCAAGACCATCCTTTTTTTTTTAACATTTCACGTGCAAATATCCATGAGGTCCGCACGTTACTTTTGAATGTCCAGGGTGATTTCCACTATGTACTCTTAAAATGGCAAGCATATCAAGGACCAGTTGCTCTGTTGTTTTATATTCTAACATTCTTAAAGGCAAAAAATAAGGCAATTTTCTTGGTATCATGATGTGATCATTATTTATCAGAACTTCACCGGCTCTGTATGTAGTTGTCCAACAAAACTCAAAGATGAGATCCTTAGAAAGAGAAAGAACAGGCCATTGAAAATATACTGTTTTTGCTGAAGGTCTCAAGTCTTCCACCAGGTTCATTTATCTGAATGCCCACTTTTCTCCTTCAGTGGCTTTGATTAAAATTCTGGAAATAGATGCAAATGCTGGTAATATAGCAGGCAAATGTAAAGCAGGCCATATTAATCTGTCACTGAGCTTTAAATGTCCCTTCTCTTGTCCCATATCCAAAAAAACCAAAAAGCCTTGTCCACCATGTATTTTCATTCTTCCAGCTCCTTTCAGGTTATTGATTTTTGTGTTATTTCTGCAAGCACATGGAAAGGTTTTATGTGTATAAATTAAATCTATGATGCACAGAGGCTGCTCTACTCAGCTGAATATGTCTTTAACACACTTCAAAGTGAATCTTAAAAAAAAAATCCTCATTAAGAGCTGTTTCCCATTATAACTTCTAAAGTTACTTGATAGCCTTATGCAGTTTTACAACATGCGCTAAATATAAATGAAGAGCAAATAAAAATAAATATTACACATCAGGAGTGCTCATAAAACCACTGTGCAATTGTTCTGTCCTCTATTCAAGCCCAAGAAAGTAGCACCTCAATTTTAATGTTCTATACTTTCTATTAAAACCTTATGACTGTTCCTGAGATAAGGCCATATGCTTAAGCCAACATTAGGCAATTTCTCTTTTTCTCTCCATTAAAACAACAAAACCAGGCAAAAAACCCAGAAGCTAAGCAAATCTTAGTTTTAGGTTTTTAGTATCAACTTTTTTAATTAGGATGATAGAGCATTTTAATATTAAAAGCAAATTATTTATTCCTCAGGGATTTATTTTTTATAATATTTAATACAAAAGGTTCTAAATGCATTATTTTACCCCGTAGATAGGTCTGTCGGCCCCGGGGCATAAATACACTCCATGATATTCTAACAACTGAAAAACAGTTTATTCTCTTATCACTTACAATGGTTTTATTCTATAATAGCATTTATGATGTGCTAAAAAAGTTGAGAACAACTCGAACAGTCTCTACAGAGACCACAAAATAGAGCTGAATGAAAAATACAAATCTGAGTAGTTGGGGGGCTCCAAGACTAATCTGGGGTGTTCAACTTCATATTAATCATTTATTCTCTCATTAATCACTATTATTAATATTATTACCATACATATTAGCTAATTAATATTATGTTAATATATTACTATAGATGTTACTATAATATTAACAATACAGTAATTGTATTCATGTGAATTGATATTTGACGAACCATCAATCCATAGAGATATAGAATTTATATATGTATCCCAAAGATTGTACATCCTGATAACAGACAATATAACAATGGCTTTATATTAAAAAATTATTTGGGGGACTACAATTAAGAAAAACTGAAGAACCAGAGTCAAAATCTACAATGTATATAAAGATGAACTCAAAATGCATCAAGGTATAAAGCTCTCTGAGGATTTAATTTCAGTGCACAGAAAAATTAAATTCTGACCATAAACGAGTGACTATTTCTGCTCCTGATTTGCCCAAGTAAAAATAGAAAGGTATTTTCAATGAAAAAAGGCAAAAAATAATGAGCAAAAGACTTAAGAAAGCATTTTCTGAAAGAGGCTATCAAAATAGCCAATAAGCACATGAAAAGATGCTCAACGTCATTACTCAATAGGAAAGTGCAAATTAAAATCCAAAATAAGATACCTCTAACCACCTACCTAAACGGAAAATACTAAAAAGGCTAATTATTCTAAGTATTCAAAAGGATGTAGGACAAGTGAAATTCTCATACCCTGATGGTGGGAGTATAAATTGATAATTTTCCAATAACTTTGGAATGGTACTTGATAGTAACTATTAAAACTAAATACATTCCTACTGTGGCCAGTAATTCCACTCTTACATATATTCCCAAGGGAAATGAATGAGTATGTCTACTAAAAAACAACACAAGAATTCTTAACAACTCTCTTCATGATCATCAAAAAGTAAGAACCCAAATGCTCATTAATAGTAGAATAGATCAATATTTTTGTGGACTATTCACTTGCCTAGTAGTTAAAAAGAAAAAGAACTATTGCTTAATACAATGACTATGAATGATTTTTATGGGTATAATTACAAGCAAAATGACTCAGGAAAAAGGACAGCCTGTGTTTTTATAAAATTTTTATAAAAAATTTTAAAATAAAACCTTTCTATAAAATGTAATAATTCATAAAAGTAATCAGTCTTGAAAAAAGTCAGTATATTTGTTTTAGGAGGGAATTTTATTTATTTATTTATTTGTTTGTTTGTTTTCATTTATTATTTTCTTATTATAGTTTATTGTCAAGTTGGTTTCCATATAACACCCAGTGCTCATCCCAATAAGTGTCCTTCTCCATGCCCATCATTCATTTTCCCCTCTCTCCCACCCCCCATCAACCTTCAGTTTGTTCTCAGTATTTAAGAGTCTCTCATGGTTTGCCTCCCTCCCTCTCCTTAACTATTTTTTTCCCCTTCCCTTTCCCTATGGTCCTCTGTTAAGTTTCTCTTGTTCCGCATATGAGTGAAAACATATGGTATGTGTCTTTCTCTGCCTGACTTATTTCACTTAGCATAACACCCTCAATTTCCATTCACGTTGCTACAAATGGCCAGATTTCATTATTTTCTCATTGCCATGTAGCATTCTATTGTATATATAAACCACATCTTCTTGATCCATTCATCAGTTGATGGACATTTAGGCCCTTTCCATGATTTGGCTATTGTTGAAAGTGCTGCTATGAACATTGAGGTACATGTGCCCCTATGCGTCAGCACTCCTGTATCCCTTGAGTAAATTCCTAGCAGTGCTATTGCTGAGTCATAGGGGAGTTCTATTGTTAATTTTTTGAGGAACCTCCACACTGTTTTCCAGAGGGGCTACACCAGTTTACATTCCCACCAACAGTGCAAGAGGGTGCCTATTTCTCCACATCCTCTCCAGCATCTGTAGTCTAGGAAGGAATTTTAGATAGGTGGGTTTTAATGGGATAGGGGAAAAATGGAGCCTTTTGGTGTGCTGGAAATGTTCTGTGCCTTCATGTGGGTAGTGACTATAGTTACACAATTTGTCTTTGTGTGTATGTGTGTGTGTGTGTAGAAATTCAAAACACATTACTACATAAACATACATGTAAAACTTGATCACTTGAGATTTCTGTACTTTATAAAGTGTGTGCTATACATCAATAAAAATTAATAACTAAAGGTTTTACATCTTGTTAGTAGAAGTAGGTGAAAGACTGACTTATCAGAGTTCTTTCAGTGGAGAGCACGAGATGAACATACCTGATAGCTTGTTTTCTTCCTTCTTGCCCAGCATGAAGAACCAACAACAATGGGTTATTTGTTTTCTACAGCCTCTTGTTCTCTGCCTGTATGATGTGTGTATTGGTTTCTTTAGCTGCCATAGTAAATTACCACGAACTTGATGGCTTAAAACAATAGAAATTTATTCTGGAGAGCAGGAGCCAAAATCCAGATGTCAGTAGGGCTGTACTCCCTCAAAAGTCTCCAGGAGAGAAGACTGCCTTGTCTCTTCCAGCTTCCAGTGGTTGCAAATGGTCCTTGACTTGTGGCCTGGGTCGCTCCCATCTCTGCTTCTGTCTTCCATTGGCCTTCTCCGGAACTCTGCGTATTTTCTTCTGCTACAAGAACACCTGTCATTGGATTTAAGCTCACCCAGATAACTTACAATGATCTTATCTAGAGACCTTTAACTTAATTACATCTTCTAAGACACTTTTCCAAATAAGGTCATATTCATAGGTTCTACAATTAGGATGTGAACATATCTTTTGGGTGGCCACCATTCCAGTACATTGTATATGGATTAAAATGAATGCAACTCCCCATTATAATAAAACTAAGACAATATCATGTGTAACTTCTAGCCAGTTAACAACAATTAAAAATAAAAGTGTATGTTTGCTTCATGTTTTCCAGATGTAAAAGAAGTTTTGATTATTTTTTATCTGATTTGACCATTATAATCAGACTCATTTAATAATTTAAAAGAGAGATTTACTGTGGTAACAAGAATATATTTATTCATTACCTCTTCATTTATGTAAACAGCAAGAGCCCTATTAGCGGGATATAGTATTCAAAGTTTTAGTTTTAGCTCATAAGAGAAGATTGGTTTGAGTCCATTGTAAAGGGGAGTATGACACTTAACTTTTAGTTCACTGACTAAGGAAAAGGTTTGAAGTTACTTCAACAGGAACACCTATGGAATAGGATGGCATGTGACAGAGGACAAAATTCTTCAGATAAGACTTTCTGAGAAACAAGTTGAACAAGTGAACATAGAAATGTTGCACTAAAAGTATAACTTCTTAACTAAAATCAAGAAGCTCTGTTTTCTGCTTTCTTCTTTTATGGTTGCTAACCTTTATCCACCTTAAACCAGAATAATATATTGTTTCCTATCATTTAATACACTTCCTTTTCAAATGTCAAACATTATATTTACAATTTTAGAAATATCAGTGTCTTTTAGAAATATGCATGGTTTCTTTTCTTTCTGAAATTGTTACAAATATGTGTACTTTGTATCTGCGTTGTGTGTGTACTACATATGTTCTTTTTAAAAACAAATTCAATACCATAATTAAGTAACTGAATTCATATTAGTGAGTATTGAGCAATTGTTTATACAAAACAAACATTCTACTATAAAAAAGCCTGTAAGTAATTCATGGAAATTGTATGTTTAAAATGTAATTCTGCCGGAGGCCGCGCCGGCTCCGACAGGTCCAGGGGTCCCTGAAGGATGGACGGTGTCGGCAAAAGAGAGTGAGAGAGCCCCGAGATCCTTTCTGATCACCAGGCAGGCATCTCTGTCCTGTCGGTTTTGGTGCCTTTATTTATAGGTTAAATGATAACATGACATCAGAAAAAGGAATTTTTACAATGGATAGCTCTTTGTGATAAGATGCTTTGGAAAGTGTACAGAAGCAGGTTTTACAGAAATATTCTTGCAGAACTATTGCAATTATAGTGAGGTTAAGTAAATCTTATAACTAGAGAATTAGGGTATTCTTAGTAAAAGACAGGATACATATTTGTTCTAAGTTAATAACGCTAAGGTTAGGTCATAGGTTAAGTGTATAGATGGGCTAAGAGTCATTCTGTCTGACTCTCAAATGTATGTTTTTGAGTTGGTTAATAAGTTGTTTGTGGAAACCTATTTGATGCTGAATGTGTGAACACCATGGAGGCTCTAAAAGTGTCAGCCTTTTGTTTGTGGGTAATGCTTTAGCTCCTCTTATCTATCCTCATCCCAGCCACCTGTAAGGGAGGGTGTTTGCAGAAAGTAGGCCTTGGGGAAGGGACTGCCATACATCACCAATTAGAAGGTGTAAGTATTAACTTAAGTTCTACCCTTATCTGTACCTTAACTCTAAATTAGGCTCTTTGTCTCGGGGCCAGGCTCAGTTGTAATTCTTGTTTTCTTAACCCCCTAAGTCTTGGATCTGCAAGGCCCTTAGGAAGAGCCTTTTGACAATCATCCGTAGAGCTTTCATCTAAAATCTTTCTTGTAAAGGCAGGAATATGCTTTTCCTTATGAGGTATCTGTGTTCAGAATATTGTTCTGATATGGAATATTGTGAGGCCTGGTCAATACCAGCACAACACGAGCCAGTAGTAGCAGGAGATACCAGTTTTCATTTCTCATGGCAGTAGCTGTGCAAACACTGCCATTTCCTTGCTGTGACTGCCATCCATAGAGGCCAGTGCGGCTCCCAGCATAATTCCATTTAAAAAGTTTTGATTTTCATACAACTATTTATCTATGCATAGGATGAGACTCATCTTGTTACTTATTTAAAATGCAGTGGTTATTACAATGTAAGAAACAACTTTGGCTTTCCCGAACAGTGTAAGTAATTATCTCAAACCAAATATCCTTAACTACTCTTTTGTCCTCTCAAACTTGAGAAGGGAATTTTAATTTGTTAAATAGCTGCACAGAAATGGAGAATGGTCTTTTATTGTTGTGCAAAAGACAAGCTTCTATGAAAACTGCTAAGAAGCATTTTCTTGCAATTGGATATTATGAGGTGTAAACTTAAAAAGGCTTTTCTATCACCAATATTGAAATCGGGCAGATGTCTGCCGCAGATACCACATCTGCATTAAGAGGCAGATTTTCCAAACAGTTGACTATTGGGAGCATTTTAGATGATAGCACAAAATACTCACTGATTATCTTGCAAAGGAAAATTTTAGTCCCCTTGACAATTTTGTAGGTGTTTTGGAAGATGGCCCTTAAAACGGAAGGCACAGGCAAGTAGCAAACCAGATTCAAGAACATAAAGAATAGTAGAAGCTGAAGGATACACATTTTATAGTAGCCAGTAGCTGGGTCCTGTCACAGATGCATTTTTCCTCAAGACATGCTGGGATTCCAAATGGTCTGGCAAGATCAGGAAAGATGCCAGAAACTAGCCTGCCTGAGTTAGGAGAGATCATTTGGTTGCAGATGCAAGCTAGGGGAGGAGTTAACGGTGGAGCAAAGTGTGCTTAAATTTCAGGCACACCCAAATTCAGAGACTATGTCAACTTTTTGCTAGCTGTAGAACTAGTAAATAATCTACTCTGACATCTTAAGACTTACTTTTCTTACCTGAAAAACAGGGATTGATGTAGTGTTTACCTTTTAGAGTTATGACTGACATTTAGTAAATACTCAATAAATGGTGTTACCATCAGTATTGTCTTATTATTGCATAGAGAGTTGATGAAGTGAGACTCAGTTAGTTGTTAGTGTTTAACTAGCATATGAGCAGCGATGCCACGTACAATGGTGTTCAAACAGCAAGTTTCTAGAAGGCAGTGCCATTTGTTACCATGTAAGTGGTAGGTCTGGTCACTCTTCCACGTAAGTGTAAGACCTCAGTCAATCCTTGGTAGTACTGGGACATTGGTATTTAATGAGAGATATGCCTTAGAATTTACTAAAAATACACCTTTTTCTTTTTGCTTTTTTTCTGAAGTAGCTCTATACCGATTCTGGTTCTTAACCTAAGATAAAGACCTCCATCGCAAGGAGAGAAATTTGTTAAGAGTTAAGCAGTATATCCAGTCACCGCGATGCAGACTAAGATATAAGGAAGCTGGAACATACATTCAGAAGTCAATGGAAAAGACCAAATATGCAGATTTGGGAATCTCAACAGGGATTTGAGAAAATCTCATCTCTACAGACATGTCAGTCTTAGAGTCTCAGTTAGCCCAGACCCACTGGCTTAGGAAAACTCATGCTGATGGGGCCACAGCCCTTATTCTATCACAGGGCGTGTTTAAGACTTGGTTACACAATATTGTGAGGGTCAGACTCTGCTGGAGACAGGTTGCTATGGGTTGATTTGCACCCCTGCCAAATTCATATAATTAAGTCCTGACCCCACTACCTCATAATATAACTGTATTTGAAGATAGAGACTTTAAAGATGAATTAAGTTGAAATGAGGTCCTTAGGGTGGCTCCAATCCAGTCTGACTGGTGTCCTTATAAGAAGAGGAATTTGGATACAGACATGTTCAGAGAGAAGATGATGTAAAGATATATGGAGATGGTGGCCATCTACAGGTCAAGGAGAGAGACATGGAGCAGATTCTTCCTTAATGACCCTTGGAAGAAGCCATACTTGCAGACACTGTGATCAAACGTCTGGCCTCCAGAACTGTGAGAAAGTAATTTCTCTATTTCAGCCACCCAGCTGGTGGCATTCTGTTTTGGCAGCGCTAACAGACTAAGGCAGGCCTTCACGGGCACGGGAGGTCCTGACAAGCAGAGAAAATGGAAGTGTTTCTGGATGGAGGTCAGTGTACTCAGTTCATGAGTTCTGGCCAGAAATAAAAAATTAGGACCAAAAGAGACAAATTAGTTCAAAAAGTGGAAATTCGAGAAAAAAAAGGGCAGAACAACAGTCTCAGTTTGTCAAGGACTGCTGGGCAGACTTCTTCCCAACCCTCCTGTGAGGTGTGTCTGAGCCCTCAGCAAGCACCTGGCATTATTTGGGCACTGTTAACCAGAACATTTCAGCAATCTCCATAAAATTAAGACTAAGAAAAAATTGCTTCTTAACACTTATCTGCCTTCTTAAGTAAGGGACACTAGGACCTAAATAGATTAGCTTTGAACAGTGGCAAATTCATGATGTGGGGCTTTTTTTTTCCCTTGAAAAAAAAAAAGGATGACTGGGTTTTCCCACTGTTTTCTTGTTGTGACCTTTTCATCGGTCTTCACCAAAGCTGATGATGCCAATCCACCCACACAAACACGTCCTATCCTCATGCTTTAATAAACCAACTTTTTGCACTGAGGACGCCTCAAGAATTATTTCTCGTCCATCGTCTCCAAACCCCAACACTTCAAACCACATCAGTAGCTGTATGAGAAAAACAAACAAAAGGGTGAGCTAGGGAATAATAGCAAAGAGTAGCTACTTCATAGGATAGTCTGTAAAGACCTCTCTGATGCGATGGCATTTCTTTCAAACTTGACAATCGGACTGTTCCATGGTTAGAATTTGAACATTTTTGCTATAAGGAACAGTGCAATAATGACAAATTTCTCCAACCAAACCAGACTTACATGCCTCATATCCTTCTAAAAGCACAAAGATCCCTTGG